TCAATTCATACTTACATAATAATCCGTATTTCTTTTGTTATTTCGTTTTCGTGGGTTGGGATCGATCTCTGTATATCTGAAAGTAGAGAAATACATTCATTAATTCCCCAAGTCTAATTGATAGAGTTTAATTTCCTCCAACCATATCACTTTTTAACATGACAAATCTACATAGTGTTTGTCTTCAATTAAATTAAAACTTAATGAGTAAAATGCAAATCTAGATGTTTTAGTTCATTTGTTTCCCTGTGCATTTTTACAGATGTTTCACCTCCAAATCTATACTCTGAAAAGATAGTAGTACATGTAGTACTTTACAAAATTGTATCCAACAATATATTCTTCTACAATCAAATAAGTTTGAGATTAGTTAGTTACATAATATCAGTGTCAAACAATCTTTATATATTTGGAGGAATAATAATATAAGGACCAGAAAATCTAGAAAACTGTGGTCAGATCTAGAATGAGTGAAGTAGCCCATGGAAAAAATGAAACTTAATATTCAGAATGATAAGGTTTTTATCAGATTGAATTAAATCAGTCTAATTCTCCCTCAGGAGATTCGCAGGTCTTTATGGCCAAACCCCATTAATTATAGAAAACGGCCTGGTCTAAGTGGAATAACATTAAATATTTAATACAATCCGTTATAAGAGGTCATTAAGCCAAGATTCATCATTATACGATGAAGTCAGATTTCATGAAAGCTGATGGAACTTAATTAAGCTACCCTGATTACTTTTCAGAATGAGAATCTGGCTTTGAGTTAGTATTTAAAGTGCGACTAGAAGTTTCAACACAATCTTCATTCATTTGATTTTCTCATTCATTCATTCATTCATTCATTCATTCATTCATCCAATTATTACACCTTTAATTAAATTCATTCATTCATTCATTCAATCAATTATTACACCTTTAATTAAATTTATTGGTTTTTAATGCATTCAATTCATTCCTTCATCAATAATCAATGATTGATTTTGCCAGGTCAGGTGGAACGAGAGTACATTGTTTTGTTGTTGTCAAAAACAGAGTCTGCCTAACAATTAATTGACGTAAGGGAGTAGGCCTATTCTTTTGGGACACATTAAGATTAAAAATAGATTAGGCCTACAATTTAACTACGGAATATTTTGAAGATACATGCCAACGAATAGTAATTTTGTGTCCAAAAGGAACTTCAAATGTGCTTAAATCACACAATTCATAGTCGATATATAGACTCATGACGTGCTGTTATTGGTTGAAATCAACATCAGCAGTACGCGACCTTGGTATAAATCTGTTTAGATTACGATGGAGAGCAGAAAAAATAACGAAACTAACTAATTGTAACAGATTACTGATATCTTTACCTGTCTAAATCTATGTCCACTATATCTGTGAAGGGAGCATCTTTAGGTAGAATTTGATTGTCTCTGCTTGTTAGGAACATCTGGAATTCTTTTAAGGACAGCGCTGTCCTCCAAAATAATGATATTTAAGATTACAATTAAGTTGTGTATGGACAACTTATTTGTCCAATACTATACTGAATTTTTACAGCTTTCTCAGCCATTAATGTACCTGAATATCCCAAAGAATAACCTTTTTACAAATTTCCAGCGATTGGCTTTAATAAATATTAATAAATAACAACTACCAATTCCAGAACTTAGCTTTCAAAATTATCCAAAATTTTGCTTTAACAATTATCCAAACCTTAGCTTTCAAATTATCCAAAACTTAGCTTTAACAATTATCCAAACCTTAGCTTTCAAATTATCCAAAACTTAGCTTTAACAATTATCCAAAACTTAGCTTTGAAATTATCCAAAAATTAGCTTTCAAATTATCCAAAAAATTAGCTTTCAAATTATCCAACAATTAGCTTTCAAATAATCCGACAATTAGCTTTCATATTATCCAACAATTAGCTTTCAAATTATCCTACAATTAGCTTTCAAATTATCCAACAATTAGCTTTCAAATTATCCTACAATTAGCTTTCAAATTATCCAAACCTTAGCTTTCAAATTATCCAAAACTTAGCTTTAACAATTATCCAAAACTTAGCTTTGAAATTATCCAACAATTAGCTTTCATATTATCCGACAATTAGCTTTCATATTATCCAACAATTAGCTTTCAAATTATCCAACAATTAGCTTTCAAATTATCCAACAATTAGCTTTCAAATTGTCCAACAATTAGCTTTCAAATTATCCAACAATTAGCTTTCAAATTATCCGACAATTAGCTCTAAACACCAGACTTATCACAAAAGCTAATAAAAATTGCCATTTCATTTGAATTCCTAGACATTTAATCCAATTGTAAAAACAAACTGAAACTTGTTTGAAAGAGCATGTCAACTTAGTTGCAATTGTTTCCCACCTTAACGACAAAACGACAATGTATTGTCATCAGCATCAACAAATATCAATGAAAATAAAAAAAAATCCATAGCAACAATCTATAATGTATAAAGTAACATTCCATTTATTGTTCCCATTTGGTTGATCCTTTGGAAAACTTGTTATATGCCTGATTGATGAAGCTTGAAAGAGCTGGAGAGGAAAAAGGCAAGCACCTTGTCATAACAGTGGTGGAGCCAGGTTTACGTCCAAGGGGTGCAGAATATCTGAGATTGCCTGAATTTCTAATCTAGCGGCTACCCCCTCTGCCCCCCCTGTGGCTCCGCCACTGAGTCATTATGATAAAAATAAAGAGGTTTATTAACTTTTTATGTGTATAGGGGACAATTATAGCATCGATTTGCCATATTTTTCATTCAGAATACTGTGATTCATTATACTATATATGCATGTTGAAGACAAGCATGGTATAATGTCGAAGACTACATGCCTGTTGAAGAGAAGAAAAGCATGATGAAAGAGGCTACAGTCAAGAATGGCATGATGTTAAAGACTACATGCATGTTGAAGAGGAGAAAAGCATGATGAAAGAGGCTAAAGCCTAGAATGGCATGATGTTAAAGGCTAGTTTAATTTCGATTGACACTACCTGAACATGTTTCACATCATTGATTTTCAATACGAAATTAATATACTAGTAAAAATAGTATATTACTTTTATATCCTTAATCCCCACTAATCCCCTTCGACCGCTAGATTAACACGTTTTTTTTTTCATGTAATCCTTTTTTAATAAACAATATCGGTTTTATGTCAGCCATTTTGGAAACACGTTTCCTTATTCAAAGTTAACTTTCAAAGATCAAATGAATGCATGTATGATTTTGTAACCTGCTTTTTTTTATGTGTAATCCATACAATTTCAATGTCCGCCTTCTGGATAAGCTTACATACTTTCTTTTCAGAATTTCTGAAGTTTTCGGGCAAAGATCAAATGAATGCATATATTTCATTTTGTTACTAGGTTTTTTTATGTGATCTCTTACAATTTTTAAGTCCATCATTTTGTAATTTATTTGTAACCTAATTAAGCTAGCGTTCAAATCTAAAATATCAACATTAAACTTGTTCTTTAAGAGACTCGTTCTAATCAGATTAAATAAACCAAGTACTAACAATCCAAACCGCAAAACAAAAGCCAAAAACCAAAAGAACATATTGGTAGCAGCTAATGAACTTTTCACATGAGAAAGTATATCAATCATAAATGAGTGTTTCATAATGAAAAGAAGGGGTGAATAACCTTTTAAAAAAGTGGATCAGCCACTTTAAATACCAATCAATCAACTCATTATTGAAATAGAAATTAAATTGAAACAGACTGATATTGATCTACACATAAAGAAAATGTAACCGTTGAGGTTCAGGTGATGTAACCATTAGCAAAGTTAATAATAGACAAATCCCTGGCTGACTTCAATCAGTTACTGTGGCTGGTATATCTATAGCTGACTCTGGCACGATAGTTCTTTTGTTCTCGAAATGGATGGGAAACTGGGTGATACTTTCAAAAGTGACTGGAACAATTATTAATGGTAGACCGGTACCAGTAACTCAAAGTATGTTTCTCAAAAACTCATATGAATCATAATACAGCTTCTACTATGGTATAATTGGAACTTCCACAGGCCAAGGGGGTCCATGAGTCAATGGTCCATCCCCTCAATACACTACAGTTGGGACAGCAAATAAAAATGGATATGGGGGACTAATTGACCAAAAATCAACTGAAATGACTGAATAAATTATATCTATTCAGAGAGTCCACATATTTGCCCTATCTAAAATTCTTTATTCAAGACTCAAAGATGTCTTAACGCAAGTCAACTCGTTCTAGTTTCAAATAGCAATGTTTGTAAATAATTGTAACATTAAACAATGTTTTAATGTTTACCCAATAACAAAGGTGGGTACTCTAGCGACCCAATGGCTGAAATTTGAGACCCATATCGCTGAATGATCTTGTGAAGGGTCTTGTAAAACTTCCCCAATGGTATAAAATTAGAAATGTCAACAGATCTATGACTGTCTTTTATTACAAAATAAACATAAAAATTATTGCGTTCAATTTGAAATGACATCTACTTGAGAAGTTTATTAGGTATGAAAACTATGGAAAGATCATAAACTTATGGTGATCATAACCACAAAACTTCCACATGAAATCAAAAATGGAGTTATACATCGTACTTTTCTGGATCTAATTTGTCTTAAGAAGGCTGGAAACACAAATTTCTGCTAGGACAGCAGCATTATCTTACTCTTCTTCAATGTCAGAGCCTCTCGTATGGGGTCAGAGCTTCTAGTAAGGTCAGAGCTTCTCTTATGGTCAGAGCTTCTCATATTGATCAGAGATTCTTTTAAGGTCAGAGATTCTCATAGGATCAGAGATTCTCTTAAGGTCAGAGCTCCCAGTGAGATCAGAGCTCCTCGTATGGTCAGAGCTCCTCGCTAGGTCAGAGATTCTCATAAAGTTCAGAGCTCCCAGTGAGATCAGAGCTCTTTGTATGGTCAGAGATTCTCGTTTGGTCAGAGATTCTTGTAAGGTCAGAGATTGTTGCTAGGTCAGAGCTCCTCCTATGGACAGCTTCTCATAAAGTCAGAGCTCATAGTAAGGTCAGAGCTCCTGATATGGTCAGAAATTCTCTGTAAGTCGAAGCTTCTCATAAGGTCAGAGATTCTCGTATGATCAGAGCTCCTCATGAGGTCAGAGATTCTTGTATGGTCAGAGCTCCTCGTATGGTCAGAGCTCCTAATATGGCCAGTGCTTCTTGTATTGTCGGAGATCCTTGTATGGTGAGAGATTATGGTATGGTCCGAGATTCTCGTATGGTCAGAGCTTCTCATATGGTCAGAGCTTATATGGTCAGAGCTTTGAGCTTCACATATCGTTTTTATTCACTTATTGACATAAAGAAAGGCCTAGCTGTTCCTTGTCTATGTGACAACCCCTAAAACTTACCCCAATGGTTTGAAAGCTTCTTGCCCAGCAGCCACATATAATCCGCCCTCTTCCAACTTATCAAAATTGGTCACTCGGTGTCCATGATGGGGGGTGTACACTCGAAACACGGCACCATTCCTTAATTTGAGAGTATTTGTGAGTTCATCCAAAAAGGAATCGAATGTTCGTATACGTTTCTTATTCCAGGTGACGGATCTACCACTGAAATTAACATCTCCATTTCGGTAAAATCTCAAATGAGTGGCATGTTCTAAATCTCGGTTCTCTATCGGTTGCACGTTCGTGGGCCGAGTGTCTGCCATTTTTATTCTCCGACGGTAGAGGACTACCTCTTTCTCGTCGCCTCTCCTTTTCGACTTCTCGGTTGGCTTTCTAGTTTCCAAACGGTCACACGCGATTGAATTTCTCTGTTGCATTGAATTTCTAAATAGAAATAGTTCAATTCGATCTAATCCGATTTGTTTACAATCTAGTGACCTTTGACCTCGTAACTATGGCCGCATACATTGATCGCTCATTACAATGGTCGGCAATTAAAAGCGACCATGGATGTTTCCGTTTGATTTTCTCAGATAAACTTTTCATTCATGAATTAATAATTCTATCTGAAGTCCGTTTCCTTTCATTGATTCGTGTTAAATCGCTGTTTTGAGTCATCGAACATTAATTGGAGAGCCGGCTTAATGAATAAACAATGGTTGCTCCCTATCGAGGGAAAACAGATCAATTACGGACTGAAAATGGAATACAGAACAACCTTTAAGCTGATCTGACTATCATACACGGTTGTTATTTGTCCAATGGATTAACGCTCTCCCTGATCAGCTAAATCCCTTAACCACGATGGCACGGTTAAGATTTGGGACATTGCTGGTGGGGGACGGGCTCATTTAGTACAGTTTTAATATAGCCTCTTCCATTGGGCAGGGAATGAGGACCTTGATGGGGCTCCAACCCAATATATGTTGAGTCTATCGGTGCCAGCCTCCCGGGATTGAGCAATAGAGGGGAAAAAATGAAGGGGAGACAAACTGTTGACATTGAATTTGAATGCGACATCTCTGTGGAAAGGCGCAATCTTCCTGGGCTATGGATCGTCCGAGAGGGTTCTCCCTAAGAGCCTTTTTGAAAAATGTGGTAGAACATAAAGGTCTCTATGCCCCGAGGTCTGATAGTGATCTGGAAGCAAGCCATATCAATAATATATTATATAATAAACATTGAGGGAGCGTGAACTGGGTGTTAATTATTCATCTATTTGTGAACGTTGATACTTATAGAATAAGACTTATATGCTGTTATGACTACAGCTACACGACATCTGTCCAATTAGACCAAGCTATTTGTAAGTTGTGGTAAGGTTGGAGGAAGATATCGAATGTCCAGAGAAAATTGTACTTAAGAGACGTTACGCTATATTCTCTATTTTTACTCGGCATGCATTATCACGTATTTATCCTAATTATAAATCTTTAAAGGGGCAGTGTGTGTTATTTTACGAATATTTAGCAGGGGTTTCCAACCTTCTTTCTATCTATCACCCCAACAGTCTATCAGTCCAACAACCAACCATTGCATTAAGGTTCAAATCGTGCCGACTGACTGAACCAATTATCCCCAATCAATATATATTATTCGGATTTAATTGCAACTGGTATAGAAAGTGATTTTCAACCAATGATAGCTAAGTGTGAAGATTCTACTTTTAGTATAGAGAACTGTTCAACTATATTATATTCAAAGAAAAATTTCTGATCGGGACGCCAAACCTAAACCACAAGTCTGCTTGCTGTGGTTCTTGCAAGGAAAAGGGACTATTTTATTCTCCCATTGCTATATATTTTCTCTGTTAGGAAAATTAGTATTCAAAATCTCGACCAAGAAGTCTGTCGCCAGTTTCAATTTAAGTCGCCATAATAGTCTTATCTATCTACAAATTAGGACAAATCGATCGCTGAGTTCGATTGGTGATCACGTATCAATGAAGAATTAATTAATGCTCTATACCAAAATGTTTGTGTCGACAATAAGGCCCCAAAGTGTATAAAGATTTGTAACAATGGCGGATTATGTCAGATATAACAATTTATATGAATTGATATGTGATATTATTTGATTTGAAGGTAACATTCCGCCTAAAAACAAGAAATTACTACGGTTTTGGTTCATATCTGAATATGGTTCATCTTGAGAGATGCGGGTTCATTGAAATAGATGTGTTTAGGGATACGAGTTGTTTGTCGTCAGGGGTGTGGGTTCATCAAAGAAATGAACGTCCATCTTCAGGGATGTGGGTTCATTGAAACTGATGCAGGTTCATCGAAAGTTATGGAGGTTCATGGAAAGTTATCGAGGTTCATCGAAAGTTATCGAGGTTCATCGAAAGTTATCGAGGTTCATTCAAAGATATGATTTTATCGCAAGCGATGCGTGTTCAACAAGGGGAATGAGAGTTCACCATAAGCTATGTATAGGTTCATCGAAAGAGATGCTGGTTCATCAAAACAACAACTGGTATATAGACTTAAATACTTCAAACGCTGATTTCATTCTGCGAGTGGGTTAACGAACACATCATTTATTTTGATTTAAAACGATAATCCTTGTAACATATCATATCATCAGCTTAAAATACCTGGAAACCTTCCTTTGATCAACTCACGCAGACCCAATTACTTCAATAACTGTTCAAAGCAGTTATAGAAATTACTTCATAATAGATCTATTATGTCATTTTATATTGGAATCGCTAGTTTCTATTACTATGTAATCCCCACATCAAATACACACTTAATGAAGCATTAAAGACATTATTACTTGTAATATTATCAGTGGTCCGGAGTTTTGGAAAGTTAATCACCATTATCAAAATCATTGTAACGGGAGAGTATACCAGTAGGCCTACAACATGTGAGGGGCATGGAACGTATTCCCTCCGCGGACAACCGAGAGAGATATTTGTGCCATAGATTACTTACTATCGTGCTATTGTTCTCAGTTAAAGGGAGATTACTCACTAAAAAGGTGTGCAACGTATTCCTTGCTCGACTGACCGCATAAGTTATTGGTAGAGTTACTTCCCATAGATTACTTATGAAAGGGGGTCGTAGTAGTATAAGGGGGTCGTGCTACCATTTCTTACATGCTCTCAGCTAAAGGGAGACATTGTGAACAGATATGCCACGGATTAGTCCCTCTCCCCACCCCACACCTTAACATCCCCACCCCCGGGGTGGGAGGGTCAAAGCTATTTATCACAGAAACTTTAACCCTTATCAGTTATATTCATACCTACTTGTAGACTTAAAACTTAACTCCCGAGTCCCGAGCAAACACTCCAGCGAGTGGTACTTTGTTGACTTAAAGGATATGAAGACTCAATATAAATTATCTTTCAATACCCCTTGACAATGTGGGTCAATAAAGCCTATTTGTCTTCATTAAGGTCAAATATTCATAAGTTTGTGACGATTGCGACATTTTAAAGGGACAATGCTGTCTAAATTTTCTATTGATCAATTGATAGAGCTCAATTCTAACTGGCTGTACCTCTTTTCAAAATGAAATTACGATGTCCTATAATCAAATACAAAATTCCATGCTTTTCATATCGTATTCGCGTGCGTTGTGTATAGGCATGTTCCACGTCGATTCCTTCCAAAGAAAAACACCCTGACATTGACAATATTTTCAAAGACTTCATAAAATCGATTTTACTAGACTGAAAGAAAACAAATCTGGAAGGAAGAAAATAGTTGCTGACATCATATAGTCTGAAACCCTTTCCTAGCCTCTAATTTCGACAGGCGTGAGAAATTAATCTAGTCAACACAGCTGGGCATGGTTAATATGTCGAAAGTCATACAGGTTCATTGAAAGTGACTCAGGTTCATCGAAAGTGAATAAGGTTCATTGAAAGTGACCCAGGTTCATCGAAAGTGACTAAGGTTCATTGAAAGTGATCCAGGTTCATCGAAAGTGACTCAGGTTCATCGAAAGTTAGTCAGGTTCAACGAAAGTGACTCAGGTTCATCGAAAGTAACTCACTAAGGTTCATTGAAAGTGACCCAGGTTCATCGATAGTGACTCCGGTTCATCGAATGTTAGTCAGGTTCATCGAAAGTAACTCAGGTTCATCGAAAGTAACTAAGGTTCATCGAAAGTGACTCAGGTTCATCGAGAGTGACGCGTTGGTCTGAAGGGATGTGAGTTCATCAGAAGGGATTTGATTTCAACAAAACGGATGAGAGTTCATCACAAGGAATGAGGTTCATCGCAAGGAATGAGAGTGCATCAGAAGGAAATAAGGTTCAACGAAACTAATGTAGGTTCATCGAAAGTGATATGTGTTCGCCATAAAGAATGTAAGTTATCGAAAGTACTTATGTGTTCATTGAAAGAAAATCGGACTATTGCAAATGTAATGGAATGAACTCGGATTGATCGACGATTAAGAGATAGCAGTATTTAAAAAGGATAATAACATGGTGTGTTTGGATATGCCTCACGAAGCTTCCGTTGCTAGGGTAAATACGACCACATTCGTACACTAATTAGGGCGGGGACCGTTTCATTAGACAATAAGATCGGGAACAGGAAAGCAGTTCATTTCTACATAATAGAACCTAATCCCACGAAATCACAAAATAGTTCCAAACTGGTGATTTCAACCTTACTGGAACTAATCTTGGATTCCTGACTTATTTGTTAAAGACAAACCAGAATGTCTGTAATTCCATGGACAGTTAATCTCTTTTTTAATCGGTTTTCAGAAAACCGGTCCTAACCATCTAAAACATGGATAGTCAGGGTTACAGAGAACTGTAGAACTAGATACAATGGTAGTTGGACTTGGTAAAACCAGTCCCTATGGTAGTTTTGCCATATTATGCCAATTTAAGTATATCGGCGCATGCCCCTACTTACATCCTTTGAACTGTGAAATGTAACGTTTATATGCTTTTTATAGACAATTAATGATCATTGCGTAAATATTGAACATTTCATGTTATATTATGTTCCCTTAATTAATCGTAAATATATCATTGAACCAAACTCGGACGAACTCAAACCGTTTTGTGTCCGGTCACGTTTTGCACCAAATATAGCGAATTAATCAAAAAATACACATGGTATTCATATTGTCTATATCATGTTACTATGTTAAAGAGACAGCTAATCAAGTTTAGTCCGGTGCCAATTTCTGGGTGGAATGGAAATGAAGCATGTAGGATAGAACTTGATGATTCAGTTACTAAAAGATTCTGCCAGATGTCACCAGTTGCTATCAGATCCTGCAATAGACCATCAGTTGCTATCAGATCCAACCAGATCCTATCAGTTGCTAAGTTGCTAGCAGTCGTTGATGATTCAGTTGCTATCAGATCCTGCTATAGACCATCAGTTGCTATCAGATCCAACCAGATCCTATCAGTTGCTATGCTGCTAGCAGTCGTTGATGATCCGCTTGCTGACACATTCTGCCAGATGGCACCAGTTGCCACCACTTGATGATCCGGTGTCTCAGATAAGAGTCTGCTATAGTCTGATGTCAACCGGATCTCAACTTTACACGAAAGGATTTCTTTAAAAATCAATTTGATATAATTAGCATATAAATCGATAAAGCTTATTGTTATATCTTCAAATTTCATCACGTTGCTTCACACAATTAAACCATCTCGAATTACTGTTGAAATTTAGTTATAAATAAACAGAATTTAAGTCGAGGGTTGGGTCGGTTTACACCAGAGTCAAAACCAAGTACTAACTACATGTATAATAACTCCACCCTATTTTTAGCAGATCTCTTTATTTGTGACCTCGACCAGTGCTTTACATAGTAGTCTCTATGAACTTCCTCACTCTTATTGCCATGTATTCGGTATATTGCCCAATTACTAAATGAAGTCGTCATGCAGTTCATCTGTAGAAACTTTTAAAATGATAATACGGCGCCCAATTCGTCTACAACTTAAGCGCTGACAACCACAGAGTCGTTTGTAACAAGACCGGTGGTTCCAGTAGATCATTCGCAATTTTGCAAATTCAAATCACTTAAGGTTACACTCATTTACGTTTTCAGATTAAATTTTTAAACGGACGCTTTCTAATCTAAAATCACCCGAATTTATTCATTTCTAAGGTTTCAACCGTTACTTTGTATATTTTTTAACGTACCTTGCCTTCATGGTTCCAGCAAATTTGGATCGGACAACTTAAGTTGTCTGCGCCCTTGTAAAAAGAAAATACACGTCATGTAAAAAATGAAGAAGAACTTACTTGTATGGTCTGAATATTTCGTAACCGCCGACCACGTATTTGGCATTAGGCTGCAGGTCCTGAAATCGTGCCACTCGATGTCCGGAATCGGGGGTGTAAATGTTCCGCACAGCCCCAAACGACGGCTGTATCGACTCCGTTAAATGGTCCAAATAGGATTGAAAATTCGGATTACGTTTTGAATTGTACAGTACTGTTTTGCCACTAAAGTACGCATTGCCGTTGATGTAGTACGTGCTCGGAACGGCTTGTACGCTACCTCGCATGTAGCTTGGCGGCGTTTCGTCCTCCATTTTGAATCTGGATCTAATCCCACTTCACAATCCCAAATCCATACGAGTGTAATCCCAATCGAGCAGTATATTCACACCTTTAAGGCTGATATTCACACCTTTGTGACTGATATTGAACTATCAAGTATCACTTGTGGCCCTAAACTAAATAAATATGTCACATTACAAGTTTCTCATATTCCACTTCAGCTGTATAGCTGCGCTTATCCAGTTCAATCAATTTGTCAAAATTCCATTGTAAAACAGGCATTAATATCCCTTTGTCCAGTCAGAAAAGATGTCCAATTTTCCAATAAACTATCGGTTTCCAATATCTATTCTGTTTTTTAAAGTCTCGATTATGCTTAGCAACGTTTGAATTCCAATTAGTTAAATTGACACTTGATTGATGTGACTGGTTAATCGAAAAGGATGTAATAATTTACAATCTCGTTGCTAGGGAAAACATACATCAATTAGTTTTTTGAATAGAAGAAAACATTTCTAAATACAGTGTACACAATACATATGACGGTTATTTAATCGGGCAAATTGTTGGATATTACGAAATATGTCATTTAAAAGAGATTTAAAAAGTTGTCCCAAAACGCTCTTAAAATCTGTTGTAATTGCTATCAAGAAATTGGAATGGAGTTTTACGTCCAACTTCTACAGTCTAGACTATTAAGAGATCCACCTGCTAAAGTGAAACAAGATATAAGTAGGCCTAATAGTTTCGGACGTGTACTTTGGGGAGGCTGTTAATGGGTAATGTCATTCTGTGGGCAATGGGGCAGATGAAAGGACCCTAACCCTTGTAAACCCAGTCGAGTGGTACCCAGAAATGCTGTTTTTTGTCCCATCCGATCATAAGCCCTACCAGACGTTTTTATTTTGTTCCATGACAGCCTTCTCCGATAACATCACCGCCTATGTTTTTAATTCATTTTCTATAATTACAGAGTCAATAACATAACAGAAGACACAATAGTTGAAATGCGTTTACTGAAGATTTTATCAATGTGGCTCGAGGCAAAACATCGACGTTCTGAATCCTGTGGGACGTGAACACTCGCTCGCTCAGCTCAGTGGTTGAGTGCTTACACATCTCGGCATTATCTTGTTCCATACTATTCGATTGAGGCCAGATCTGGAACAGATGGAACCTGTTAGAACTCTCCTATCGAGCGCCACCCAGTAGAAATTCAGTTGTAATCTCCATATTTCGAAGGCGTAACAAATGCAGCATATCGTTTAGAATCGGCTGACACTTCCCAATTATAATTGCAGAAGATGTCGCTAGCGAAGCCTTTACAAACCAAGCCAAGCTTCGTATCTCAATCCTTGACCATTCCCTACAACCAATGGTTATAGCTCATTGCCTCCAATCAGATCACGGGCAGTACCAAATGCTGCATTCCACACAACTCTCAAACAAGTGTCAATCACCCCACAAACAACCAAACACCGAAAATAGAGACAAATCTAGATGAAATCTCCCTGTCGTACAGAAACACACCTTAGACCCAATCAATGGATCGTGGAATCTCAAAAGAATCAACAAAACTTCTTCAGAGACCAAAACATACTCTTAATCCGGTGCCAAAATCAATCACATCCTGATGTCAATCCTCCACAACTAGGGCTAGGCCTACCACAATTCCGAAACAACTAACCTGTATGCCTACATGTTGGCCTCAACAACCTTGGGTCTATTAAGAGCTAAGATTATCTTTATTTCTGGTCCTCACCAAGACTCTCATCATCACCATTTTAAAACAATAGTTGAAATGTTTGTATAACCACTGTGACGAAATTGGGCAGAAGTACATTGAAAATTCTGCCACAAAACAGTCACAGTAGCCTCCTGTTTACTCATCTGGAACCAACAAATCTATCACCAGAGTCTACCATCCTGAAGTCATTTAATACCTCCATCCTTAACTTGCCACTCTAAGATCCACAAACTCCCTACCAATACTACTCTATAGTCACTAGGTCCATAGACCTGTTACCTTAATTACTACCCTAAGCTCCATAGACCCCTACAACTTTAAAGTCATCAGGCTATAGACCATAACTTACACTCTAAGGTTCATAACCCCATACACACTACTCTAAAGGCCTTGAACCATATCACCATTTTACAACAATACGTAGAAATGTTTGTATAACCACTGTGACCAAATTGGGCAGAAGTACATTGAAAAATCTGCCACAAAACAGTCACAGTAGTCTTTAATGGGCGTCTCCTGTTTACTCATCTGGAACCAACAAATCTATCACTAGAGTCTATCATCCTGAAGTCATTTAATGCCTCCATCCTTAACTTGCCACTCTAAGATCCATAAACTCCCTACCATCACTAGGTCCATAGACCTCCTACCGTTACAACTCCAACGTCACTAGGTCCATAGACCTGTTCCCTTAATTTACTACCCTAAGCTCCATAAACACTATAGCCTTAATTTACTACCATAAGCTCTATAGACCCCTACAACTCTAAAGTCATCAGGCTATAGACCATTAATTGTTTCAGCTGATCTTAAATTCTGTGGTGACAAAATAGAGGCATAAACCACAATGACTAAATTGGACATGAAATTAAATATAACATGCCACAAAATAGTCAAAGCGGTCTTTGCTCCACCATCTCTTCTTTGGTGAATCATCTTATTGGTGGATCATCTTCGTTGGTAGGTGCAATACAATAAAACGGAGCAAAGACCATATTGGAATGAACATCTGTATTAAAATTGAGGTCAATATTTTCAAACCAAACTACAACTTGTATTTGGAAAACAGACCCATCAATTTCAGAAACAAATATCATTGCAATATATTTTCTGTAAAAAACAAAAACTGATTAGTTAAAGGAAAAATATGATTAGTGACAAAGTGACATAATAATTAATAACAATAACAAAAATATACAAATCAGTCAACTGACAGACATAAACAATAATACAACAAAATAAAAATTGACAATCACAAGTGAACACTAACAGACAGTCACAAACAATATACACACACTGGACTGACGGACATTAGTGACCACCAACAGACTTGGTAGTCAAACAATATACACTCATTGGACTGACAGACATGAGTGACCACCAACAGACTCGGCTGTTTAAGTAATATACACCCACTAGACTGACGGACATGAGTGACCACCAATCCACTCCAGATCTAACTAATCTGCACTATCTTCTAATCTTCACTATCTTCTACCATAACTGCAAAATCACAAAAATACAATATGAGTGAACACAAATTTATTTGGCATTTAAAAAATATACTGGACTTACAGACATGAGGGACCACCAGCAGACATGGCGGCTTTGAACACAAAATTTAACAAATCTTCACCATTTCCAACCATATTTTCGCCACACTCTACCATAATCTAAAAAATAAAAACAAATTTGAGTTAACACATTTTAACAATATATCTAATGGTTGGACAAGGGACATACACCAGACTTGGTAGCTTGGAACTCCAATCTTCACAAAATCTTCACCATATTTCCACCACATTACCTACAAAGTAAAAAATTAAAAGTGAACACTAATATATTTTGCATTTAAATGATATATTTCTAATGATTGAGCAAGAGATATTATACATCCACTTGTCCGACAGATGTGAGTGACCACTAAGTTAACATACCACAAAATAGTCAAAGGGGTCTTTACTTTACCATGTTTTCTCTGCTGGATAATCTTATTGGTGGATTATCTTCTTTACTAGGTGCAAAGACCATATTGAAATGAACTAAAAGAATAAACTAGAACTAAAAGAATAAAGACTGGAACTTGAAGAATGAAGACTGGAACTAGTAGAATAAACTGGAACTAGTAGAATGAACTGGAACTTGTAGAATGAAGACTGGAACTAGAAGAATAAACTGGAACTTGAAGAATGAAGACTGGAAATAGAAGAATGAAGACTGGAACTAGTAGAATGAAGACTGGAACTAGAAGAATGAAGACTGGAACTTGAAGAATGAACTGGAACTAGAAGAATAAACTGGAACTTGAAGAATGAAGACTGGAACTAGTAGAATGAAGACTGGAACTAGTAGAATGAAGACTGGACCTAGAAGAATAAACTGGAACTTGAAGAATGAAGACTGGAACTAGTAGAATGAAGACTGGAACTAGTAGAATGAAGACTGGAACTAGTAGAATAAACTGGAACTAGAAGAATGAAGACTGGAACTTGTAGAATGAAGACTGGAACTTGAAGAATGAACTGGAACTTGAAGAATGAAGACTGGAACTAGAAGAATGAAGACTGGAACTTGAAGAATAAACTGGAACTAGAAGAATGAAGACTGGAACTAGAAGAATGAAGACTGGAACTTGAAGAATGAACTGGAACTAAAAGAATGAAGACTGGAAGTAGTAGAATGAACAGGAACTAGTAGAATGAAGACTGGAACTAGAAGAATAAACTGGAACTAGTAGAATGAACTGGAACTAAAAGAATGAAGACTGGAACTAGTAGAATGAAGACTGGAACTAGAAGAATAAACTGGAACTAGAAGAATGAAGACTGGAACTAGTAGAATGAAGACTGGAACTAGTAGAATGAAGACTGGCACTAGAAGAATAAACTGGAACTTGAAGAATGAAGACTGGAACTTGAAGAATAAACTGGAACTAGAAGAATGAAGACTGGCACTAGAAGAATAAACTGGAACTTGTAGAATGAAGACTGGAACTAGTAGAATGAAGACTGGAACTAGTAGAATGAAGACTGGAACTAGTAGAATGAAGACTGGAACTAGTAGAATGAACTGGAACTTGAAGAATGAAGACTGGAACTAGAAGAATGAAGACTGGAACTAGTAGAATGAACTGGAACTTGTAGAATGAAGACTGGAACTAGTAGAATGAAGACTGGAACTAGAAGAATGAAGACTGGAACTAGTAGAATGAAGAATGGAACTAGTAGAATGAAGACTGGAACTAGAAGAATGAACTGGAACTTGAAGAATAAACTGGAACTAGAAGAATAAACTGGAACTAGTAGAATGAACTGGAACTAGAAGAATGAAGACTGGAACTAGTAGAATGAAGACTGGAACTAGAAGAATGAAGACTGGAACTAGTAGAATAAACTGGAACTTGAAGAATAAACTGGAACTAGAAGAATAAACTGGAACTAGTAGAATGAACTGGAACTAAAAGAATGAAGACTGGAACTAGAAGAATGAAGACTGGAACTAGTAGAATAAACT